CGGGCTGTTAGCGGAGGCTTACGAGTTTCGTCTTTCTCTCATTAAATATTTTAATGACACGCAGTTATGTACAAATAAGTCTCTTCCGCGGCTGACTACGAGGTCTTCGCTCCGATGCCTTCCTTGCAAGGATTATGAACTCCGGTGTATGCCAAGGTCCAGGGGTTTTTCCTAAACGGCATTGAAAAGGACGCGCTGCGTGCTCGGGCCCGTGAGAGTGAGCGGCAGTGGGCGTGATGCTCGTGTAGCCGGAGGGCGGGCTGATGCTCGTGTAGCCGGAGGGCGGGCCGCGAGCTCCCACCCGCTCCCGGCCCCGGGCGCCGGCTCGGGGAGGAGGACCCTGGCGGCGTTTGGTGGCGCTGGATGGGGTCCTCTCCCCAAGCTGGAGCCGCCGCCCGCCCTTTGGCCCTTTGGCCCTTTGGTGCTCCTGCGGGGACGTGTTCTTTTTTTTTCGGTCTCCCAAGGAAGGTTTTTGACAGTTAGGAAACTGGGTGAGTGGAAATTACTGGAGAGGAACAGGCAGGAGGGTGCAGAATTGGGGGTGGGGGGATGTGTGTGTAGTAAGGGGAAGCGACGTAACCCCGGCTGGGTCTGGGAAACCCGAGCGAGAGGGGCAGCTCTGCGTAAAAGGTGGCCGCCCCCAATCACCCAGCAAAGGGGTTTCCCATCTGACTGCGCTCCCTCTGCCTGTCCCGTGGTGTAGTTTTGGGTAACGCCTAGAAATGTGTTGTAATTCTGAGCCAGAAAAGTGAGGGTGAGGAGCTTGATGGATCAGGCCTCATTCTGGGCTCAGATGGGTCCAGGTAAACACCCGGAGTCCTGTGCCCAGAACAGCTTCCACCCAGCCCTCACCCAGGGCAGAGCAGGCCCCCTTAGCCTCCAAGTCTCCAGGGCTTTTCACTGAGACCAAGCTGCTGGGCCCTGGTGTTGACTGGTAACTTAGGTATTTAGATGTTTAGATATGCAGACCATGGGCCTCTGGTTGTAGGCTCTTGTCTGGTCTAGAAAATGTTTCGGCTTGGTGGAAATTTTTTTTTTTTCAAATATAAATAGCCTGGAACAATCCCTTTAAAAGTTAGAGCCTGCTATTCAAAGTGTAGCAATCCTGGATCAGCCTGTAGCCTCCCCCCCCCCCAGCTTGTTAGATATGCAGACTCTCAGGCCTGCTCTAGACCATTAATCTGAATCTGCATTTGGACTGGATCCCTTGAGTACTGTGTAATACAATAAAGTTTGAGCTGCACTGGGTTAAAATTTAGATGTAAATGATCTCTTTTTTTAAAGACCTGAATTGAACTTAAATTAAGTTTTCAGTACCTGTTGGTATACTTCTTGGTAGCTATAATAAAGTGAAATGGCCCCCAAATGATCTCAGAATAAAATGTCCCTTTGTTTTTTTTACTATTGTGTATCTAAGTGATTTGAGGAAGAAGGTTGTGATGGTTCCATAGCTTCTGAATTGGTTTTATTTACTTAACTCAACTAAAGTCTTTAAAGAATGGTAAAAGGTGTGGATTGCACAGAAAATTATGTAGCATTCTGCAAACAACACTTTACATGACATTTATTTATTTATTTTTAAAATATATCTTTAGTGATTTCAGAGAGAAGAAGGGAGAGGGAGAGAGAGAAACATCAATGACGAGAGAGTCATTGATCCGCTGCCTCCTGCACGCCCCCGACTGGGATTCGAGCCCACAACCCAGGGAATGTGCCCTGACTGGGAATCGAACCATCACCTCCTGGTTCATAGGTTGACACTCAACCGCTGAGCCATGCCGGCTGGGCAGAGTATAATATTTTTAACCTGGAGGATAAATAACCAAGGCTTAAGAGAATTATTTTGTTGTTGTTGCAGAATTGTGGGTGAGGACGATGGAGGGAAACTTTTTACCCCTGAAGAATATGAAGACTATAAAAAAAGAGTTTTACCGATGCGCCTACAGAACAGATTGTTCGTGAGCTGGCGATCACCAACTGGAATAGATTGTAAACTTGTGGGCCCAGAGACACTGTGCTTTTGTACACACAGGTAAGATATTTTATTGCTAAGTTTTCTGGTGATTAGAAAGTATCAAACTGTAGCAGAGCACATCTTCCTTCTATAAATAACATTGCTTGTGATAATTGAGAAACATTTAAAATAGGCGTTTGTGTTATGCACTAGAAATGATCTAAAATTCTTTTTGCTATATTTAAAAAATTCTATTATATCCTATTAGAACTTAATACAGTCCATTACCTTAAGTATTTCTTCTCTTGCCATTGATTGGTAAAAATGATGCTGATGCCCCCCTGGCTTTGTCAGAGGTGCCTCAATTAGGCTGGAGAGCACAGTGTACCGCTCCCACCACTGGACCAGGTGGTCGAGGATGGGACATCAGGCTGCAGAACTGCTTGAGTTGACCCACACTGACCAGGTTCTCAATCTACAAAAAGAAGAATTAATTGTCAAATTTTCTAATCTCACTTTATACTTTAAGAAAAGCACTTTGTCAATACCTTTCTTTAAACCAGGGGTGGGGAGTGTCTGGCCCGCTGGCTGTATACGCCCCTTGAAATTATTTGTTCTGGCCCTGCCAAGGCAACTGCAAGCAGGACTCGGAATTCAAAAATCTAGGAGCTTTTTTCATAGCTAATTTTTAAGTTGATAATTTTGTATGGCCCGAGAATGATGTTATAAATATCCATATGGCTCCTGGCAGAACAAACGTTCCCCACCCCTGCTAAACAAACATATGAAGCTCACAGCTTTTTATTACACATGGTCTGTTTCCAAAAAAAACACATGGAGCAAAGGAAATAACACGAGGCCTTGATGGCATGTCGTCTCTACCTGAGGTTTGCGTTTGGCTGTGTTTGTTGTGTTCTACTTGAAATTTTACTACTGTCACAGGTCACAGTTGTAAAGCTCAAGAGGACAAAGCTGCTTCATGGAAAAAAAATCACTGAATCCACGATATGTTTTTAGTTAACAACTTTAACTTACTGTTCTAAAGCAACCATGGAAGGAGGACCGCCCTGTTCTGATAGTGTCTGGGGCTCTTTCACGAGACACTCTTTGTATAGTTACTATTTACAGACTTGCAGTTTGCCAAAGGTTGTTAGGCAGTTGCTAGGATGAGTAATGTACACAGATCGACTTGAAATTTATTTAGCAACTCTAACTAAAAACACTGTGGAGGAGAGGAGATTGTGAGTTACATTGATATCTTTCAGAATTGATAAATTCGTGTTAGTTTTAATTTTTATTCTTGTACAAATTCAGTGTCTGTCTCTTATCTATACATACATATACAGCATGAAATTAACCTTCAAAATGGACCCAACTCAACTTTGATGCAAAAGGTCTTTAGTACCAGTTACTCAGTGAGATCTGTCTATACAGTCCCCCCACCCCATTATAAAAGTGAAACATGGTTATTAAGGAAAATGCAGAATATATAGAAAAGTAGAAAGAAGACTCACCACCCAAAGCCAGCTGCTGTTAATACATTTTACTATATTCATGTAATTTATTTACATAGTTCATTTAGTTAATTATGTGTACGTGTAAGTATTGAACCAGTTTTCCATGACAGAATCACAGAAATATGTTTTCACATTATGTGGTAATCACAAACAAGATTTTTAATACCTGCCTGATATTTGAGCTGGTTCATTGTGTGTTCCCCAGAGGTGTGAGAGTGTCTCAGGGATGTACCAAGTGGAAGGGTAGGTTAGGGGAAGGGCAGACTCCAATTCTGGCTCTTTCCCTTGCTTCGACCAATTCTGCTTTTTATCTATTTTACATATTATGGTTCTGTAAAATATTTTATTTGAAGAAAGGGTTTCACTGATAAAAAGTTTGAAGACTATTATCTTGTAATTAAGTTAATGATGCTTTTGTTATTAGTGGTGTGTGTGTATGCATGGGTATATATATGTATATATTTTGCTATTGTAAGTACTATTGCTACTACTGTATTTATGCACACACTCTATACATGGAATTATTTTCTTAGGGTATATTTTCAAAAGCGAACTGTCAATGTTAAAGGATGGATCTATTTAAGTTTTTTAAAACATTGAATGGGATTGCTTCTTTTGTAATACTCTTGGCAGCATTGTGAATTATATATAGTTTAAAAAGAGCTTTGGCTTTCTTTGCTATGTGAAAAATAGTATATCATTATTTTAACTTCTATTACCTAAATTAATATCGAGAATAATAAATTTAATATTATTTTACTGAATATCACCTTGTGAGAAAAAAGGAAGTGGTCTATTTAAGAAAATTATTTAGTGTTTTAACAGAGAGCTTTGGCTTTTAAAAATGTTGATAATTTATTTTCAAGTTAAAAGTTGAAAATTAAATTATATTAAAATAAGTTACATTAATATATGTTTATTGAGCTTATTTCAGTTTTAAATAGCAAACCTATAACAGTAAATTCAAGTAATGCACTTTAATAAAAAGAATTTTTTTTATAAAGAACTTATTTCATACTGCTAGGTTGTACTTTATTTTAAAAAACCTATAGTGGTACATACTTTAAGGGAATTATATGACATTTCTTTGTATATTGCTGTGATTACTAAAAATAAAAATCTAAGAGTGAAGGTTTTCTCTGATCAAAGTAACATAGCTGCAGGTAGGGGAGTTTATTTTCACCTTACTAACAAGAACAGTGAAACAAAACTAAAATTAAAAAGAATCATTTTGCATTTAACAGAATAGAAGTAGGTAATTGCTGGCATTACCTGCATTGTGTTTTTATTTCTTCTCTTTTATTTTTATTTTTTTTAGGTATAAACAACATAAAACTGACTTTGAAATGATTCCACAGCAGCGCCCCATTAGTCTGCCTTGCCGGGTGACGGGCTGCCAGTGCAGGGCTTACCTTTATGTCCCTTTGAATGGTACGCAGCCCATTCGCTGCAGGTGCAAGCACTTTTCGGATCAGCACAGTGCCGCGCCTGGCTTTACGTGCAATGCCTGTGAGTTACATTATTATAAATACACCAACAGACTGTTTTATTTCCTTATTGAGTATTTAACCCTTTGCGGTCATATTAAATTTGGACATGGGTGTCGTACTGGTTGGAATTAAGAGCTTTCAGAGAAATTATGAACTGACACATGAATGAATAGAGTTAAGATTCATACGGTTCCTTGCTGTGGTGGCTGAGAGCAGACATACGACCAGAACGGTAAAAAAGCTTTGGTGGCTGAGAGTAGACAAACGACCGCAAAGGGTTAATGTGTCTTTGTGCCAGTTTTATTCAGCTACAGAGTCAATATGAAACAACTAAGAAAAATTTGGTAGGTAGCTACTCTAAAATTTTATTTTTTAATTTTTATTGATTTTAGAGAGAGGAAGGGAGGGGGGAGAGAGAGGGAGAGAGAGAGAGAGAGAGAGAAAGGGAAACATCGATGTGAGAAAAAACGATGTTACCTCCTGTATGTGCCCTGACCGGAAATCAAACTTACAACCTTTTTGATATACGGGATGGTGCTCCAACCCACTGATCTACCCAGCCAGGGCCTTCTTTCCTTTTTATCGTTAAACAATATTCTGTTGCATCCTTTCTTTGTCTATGGGTTGGCCTTCCAATATGGCTTTTATGGGGAATTGATCCATAGAGAGGTTTCCACATTATCTCTTCACCTGGTCCCGGCCCCTGGTTGTCCCCCCACACCTGCTTTTAACTCAGTATTTGAGGAGAGGGCCTGTATTTCCTGGCTCTCCAGTGTTCAGCCCAATTTCTATTAGTCCTCATTGGTTTTTCCAATTTTTTTTTCCCCCTTGCTACTACCCATTACTGCTTTAGAATCTTTTAGAAGTAAGAGCAGTGACTGGGAGGGAGTTCAAGGTCTGGAGGTAACAGCTACAGGGGTTAGAGGACAACACATGATGGATCCAGATTCAGGTGATTTTGGCCAAGCTGAGCGTTTTGAGGGCAGACAGCTCAGTTCCTATATTTAAAAACATTCAACTTGCTTTACACCTCGATTCAGGTTCCAAGTGTTCAGGATTCCATAGCTGCTTCACTTGTTCTTGTGGTCAGCCTGCATATACCCATGACACCGTAGTGGAAACCAAGCAAGAAAGACTGGCTCAGGGAAGACCGGTGGGACAGGATGTTCCTTACGCAGCAGTGGGAGGATTGACTGGCTTCAGCTCCCTGGCAGACGGCTACATGCGGTTAGATGGCAGTGGGGTTGGTAAGTGCCGACGCAGAAATGTGAGCCTGCCGTAGTTTTTATGTGTGTTAGCAATACTGAATGAGGCCTTAGGTTTGTTTAGCACTTTATATTCTTAATGTTTTTTTCAGAAAATATTCTCTTGTTTGATTTTTATTTTTTAAAAAAGGTTTAATTGCCACTATACAACAGATGGTCATTAGAGAAAATTTAGAAGTCACAAGAGAAAAGATTATTCTCTTATCCAATACTTGTACCCAAATGCCAGCCCATAACCACATTGTTTGTAATAGTTGAATAATAAATAATATTTCCTTTATTTGCTATAATACAGTTTACCTATTATTTTATTGTATGTAATTTTTACCATTATAACCATCTCATTTTGGAAACATGGACTCTGTTCATGTGTGAGTATGCACATGCATGCGTGTACATGTAATCATATCTATAATAATGCATGCTCACATGCGTGCATGTGTATGTACAGAATCGAACCATCAGCCTTTTGGTATATGGGATGATGCTCCAACCAACTGAGCCACACCAGCCAGGTAATTGTTATTCCTCATGGTATGTTTTGATATTTGGTATGGTAAAGTCCTCCTGTTTGTGGTTTTTTTTCAAGATGGCCTTGATATATTTGTCTTCTCTTCTAACTAGTTTTACAAGTAGCTTGTTAAATTCCAGAAATAAATCATTTTTCAATGTTTATGGGTGCATGATTCTATTAGGCACATGCAGTGGTTACAGAAAACCCAACTACCAGTGGCCAAAAATAATGAATGGTAATGATACTGATGGTGACCAGGAGTTGTTTCAACCTCTTTACATCTGTTACCTCATTTAATCCCCATGACAACTCTGAGTTAGGTGCTGTTATTAATCCTATTTTACAGATCGGGAAAGTCAGCACAGAGAGTAAAACATCTTGTTCTGTGTTACTCAGCTAGTAAGTGGCGGTGTTGGGTTCATCCCATGTTGTTCCGAGCACCTTAGTCTGCCTCATTGTTGTCTGTTTCTGTGCAATTGCCATGTTGTTTTCATCACTACAGCTTTATAGTAAATGAACATTTATGACTTCATTGTATTATTCCAGAACCTTCCTGATTTCTTCTTACCTTTTCGTTCTTTTAGAACTTTGGCATTTTTGAAAACGTATTATTATAAAAATATTCTTTTATTTTAGTTGAGATCACATTGGATAATGTAGGAAGAATTAGTATTTTAAAATATTGAGTCTCTTCATTTATTTGTCTTCTTCCGTGTAGCTAAGTAGAATTCTGAATTTATCTTCACAAAAGTCCTGTACAATTCTTAATTTTGTTTATAGGTATTTCATCTTGACTTTTTACAGCTGTTATGCATGGGAGCTTTTTCTTCCTTTATATTCTTTAGCTGATTATTGTTTGTTTATAAAAAAGCAGATGTTGCCCTGGCCAGTAGTTAGAGCGTAGGCCTGTGGATTCGGGTTCGATTCTGGCCAAGGGCACATACCTGGGCTGCCGGCTCGATCCCCAGCCCTGGTTGGGGTGAGTGCGGGAGGCAACCCGTCCGTGTGTCTCCCTCACATTGACGTTTCTCTTTCTGTCTCTCCCCTTCCCTTCCACTCTCTTTAAAAAATCAGTGGAAAAATATCCTTGTGTGAGGATTAACAACAACAAAAGCAAATGCTTTATGCTCCTTTTGCTACGAGTCATTATCTCTACCTTTAACCTTAGAGTTTTAAATAAATGTAAAGTCGATTTTGCAAACAATGATATTTGTGCCTCTTCTTCCCAATATTTCTGAGTCTCCGGCACTTCTAGAGCAACACTAAGTGGCGGTGGTAGTAGCTGACATCTTTGCCTTTTTGTGACTTCTAGGATTTTATTACTTAAGCACCTTTATAATATAAGGAAGGAAAACCTGCCCCCTTTGGCCCTTGAGGGAAGGTGGGTGAAGAAAGATGAGAGGGACGGGAGGAAACATACACTACTTTTGTCTTGACTCCAGCTGTAGGGGAGCCCGGGGTCCAGGGAGTCTGCTCGGTTGGCCGTGGAGGCCTGGGCGGAGGGGACCTCTGGCTGGAATTCGGTTCCTTTATGTTGCAGAAGGAGTCCAGACTTCCCAGCTTGTAACTGAGCTGTGAGGCAGGGGCCGTGTCATGGCGTCTGTCATAGCAAGGGGCAAGGGTGACCCCAGAGCAGAGCTGGAGGTGGTCCCCTGAGCCCTGGGGGACTCCGTAGAGGAGTGGCAGGCGCCCAGTGGCCTGTATGTGAGAGTGAGGCTAGCAGGCCCTACGCAGCTAAGAGACTGACTCACTTAGGCCAGCCTGGCCGCTGGAATCTAGTGCACGCAGCAGCCAGAGGACAGCGCAGGGACCTGGCTGGACCTGAGCACCCCTCCTACAGCCCAGAGGCCACAGAGAGGGGAGTGCGCAAGGAGGGGGCGGGAATCTGAAAGGCTGAGCCCACACTGCTTCCATTATAAGAAAGGACTAACTTTTAAAACCAAGTAGGACTGAAAGTTTATTTTCTGTCCCTCTACCCGCAGGATGGAGGTAGGGGTGTGAGGGAGGTGGTGGTTTGTGAAAAAGGTAGAGCATTTATATATAAATTTTCCCTGCACTTCCTTTCCCTTGGTTCAAAAGTCAGTTATATCTGCAGCAGTTGGTCTTTGCAGTTCGTGGCTGTGCTGTTTCCTCATTTCACTGAGGAAAGTTTCTTTATTTTTCATCCTCTGTTTTTAGTTTTTTTCCGAGTGAGGAACAGAGTAAAAATACACGTATTCTGCCCTCTTAAACTAGAGGTTCTTTATTGCTTTCATTTTAGTATTTTATAACTATGTTAATGTTCTTTACTCTTTGCTGACCTACCGTCACGTTTGTGCTTTTTTTTCTTTCTCTGAAAAAGGTGTCCGAGAAATACAAAACCACTTTTACCCATTTGCCCTTACTTTATGTAGCTGGTAAAAATCTTTAAAAAAATTTCTTTTACAGACAGGATTTTTCTAACGATTCTGTTGAGGTTCTAATTTTTTTCACATTTGAAATAACTTCTTTGTATCCTAACAAATAGAGATTTAATTTTTGTTCTTCATGTGTTTTGTTATCAGGTGCACCCTCGGCTGAATTTTTTGACTCTCCAGGTATGGCCACGGACCACCCATTTCTAAAAGCATTTCAAGCATCATCTAGTGCTTCTCCAGAAACAGATGGTAATGAAATTAAATTGAGAAATGTGTTTGGATGTAGAAAATAAGAATATAGATTGGTTCATTGATAGCTCTCTTTTTCCCCAGTATCCACAATTTATTATTTTGTTTTATATTGGCCAGGCAGTGAGAGAAAGCAAGAAACTTTATTTTTTATTGGGGAAAAATTGCTAAATCTGAGAATTATGAGGATTCTGATAATACAATAATTTGAAGTTTTAAAACCTTGTTCAGGTACGTTATTGCTCTGACATCTGAAAGAGAGAGCCCTCTAGTGGACTATTGCCTTGATCCTTTAGGCTCTCCCGAACAGGATGCAATCCAGTAATAGTTACAGGTTAGCAAGGCTTTATCATTTATTAATTACACATTAAAAATGAATAGAATTCACTTTAAGCACTAGTATTCCATTTCCTTAATTGAAAGCAGAACAAAAATATCTGTTTTATTAGGTATTTAACCTTTAAAAATATTTTAAAATGAGAATTTTCTTTGATGTATTTGTATTTTCATACCACCTTTTCATGTACCCTTTCTCCACAAGGGTTTTAAGGCTGCCACTTACAACAACACACAATGAAGTATGATAAATAGAGAAGATCAAAACCAAGAAAAACGACACAATTGTGTCCATGTTCAAGGTTGTTGTGATTGTTGCATTAAGCTTCGGTTTTGGCTGAGTGCAGTGGTAGCCAGGGCATAAAGGAAGGTGTGATCAGTTTACTACTTTTCATTATTAGAGGAGGAAACATGAGTTCCTCCGTGCCAATGTAAGTTACACCAATGCTGGGTTTTAAAGACGTCTATATAGTGACCCTCAATGATGCAGTGGCCTGAGGGCCTTAGAAACTTTTTTTTCAGCAAATGCAGCAAATTTCTAATAGTCGCCCATGATAAAACTGGTAATATACCATTTTACCATATAAATGCATTTTATCATTAAAATGTAACTTAATAAAGGTGATTCTCCAAAAGGCTTTGCTTAGACTCTGGTCCAGCATGATCCAGGGAACGACCCAGTTTCTAGACAAATGGATAGATAGCACATGTTCTAAGCATTTTTTCTTATTTTTCTCAACAAAGCTTTTGTTTGATAGTTGACAGAGTGTGGTGATTGTTGGGAGTTATTATAATTTTTGTGTTGTTGGTTGAGGGTAAATTCACGAGTTTTAAAAATGAGAACAGGTATTGAGGTTGATACTCTTATCTTGGATATGAAGGGACCCAACCAAGACATTCACCTGAAGCGAAGGCAAACTTTTCCATTTCTTTCTGCACATTAAAACTAGTGCTTGATTAGTTTTAAAAAGTGAATACCACCCTGGCCAGTGTGGTTCAGTTGGTTGGGCATTGTCCCATGCACCAAAAGGTTGCCGGTTCAATTCCTGGTCAGGACACATGCCCGGGTTTCACGTTCGTAGAGGGCGTGCAGGAGGCAGCAGACTGGTTTCACTTTTACATTGATGTTTTTTCTCTCTCTCTCCCTTCCTCTCTCTCTCTAGAAATCAATAAAAATTCTTTTAAAAAAGTGAATACCATGGAAAATGGTTAAAATTATTTTACTTTTGAAAAATTTCAAAGCCCCTAGAATCATCGCTATGGGTGGCTACACAAACTGTCTTAGTCTGTTCAGGTGGCTAGAACAAAATACCGTAGGCTGAGTGGATTATAAACAACAGAAGTTTATTTCTTACGATTCTGGAGGTGGAGAAGTCCAAGATCAAGGCACCAGCATGGTTGTGTTCTGGTGAAGGCCCTTTTTCAAATTATAGCCAGCACCATCATCTCCTTGTGTCCTCACATAGTGGGAGGTTGAGGGGTCTCAGTGAGGTCTTTTATAAGAACACTAATCCCATTCGTGAGGGCTTCATCCTCATGACCTAAGTACTTCCCAAAGGCTCCACTTCCTAAGACCGTCATATTGGGCATTAGGATTTCAACATATGAATTTTTTTGGGGGGGGGGAACAAACATTCAGACCATAGCACTTCTATAATTGCTTCTGTGTATTATCTGTTACAGTGGTACATGAATTTCTAGGTTAGCTATAAAATGTAAAATGTAATTAAACAAAGCTAAGTGTGCTCTTATATGAAATAGCTATATTGTGTTATTTAATATGAACCAGCTGAATATCTGCAGAATGTTTGCCAATGAAAATTACTTTTGTCTTAGGATGCTCTGCTTTCTAAAAAAGAATTAGGTAGTAGGATCAATTCTCCATTTAGACCATTTTTGGTTTGAAAAATAAAAAAAATTATCACCAGGTAGGAGGAAAGTTTTCTTTCTGTTTTTTATTTCAGGAAAATTTATAATTATATAAATGTATTAGTTAGAATTTTTTTTTTTTTTTTTAAATTAGCAGGTACAAGTAGTCAAGATTCTTCCTTAAGGAGACCTGGAGAGGATGACATGGCTTACTTTGAAAGACGATACCAGGAAAGGGTAAGTCTGTGGAGAAATCTGCTTACAGTAAGCGTTTACTTGTAACAAAGACACTATAGAACAATCATACATTGGTTGTGGATTGTCATTAAAAATAACTTATGAAGTCTTTACTTATAGATGGTGTTAGGCCTTGGGTCTTAGTTAGAACAATTCAGAGAGAAACAGGACTAATGAATAATGTGATAATACACTGGTTAATTTATGGAGGTCATTAAGATTAACTAAATATACAAATAAAATTGTCAGTAATAACCATCAACTACCAGCAGATTTGTAAATTATGTGTCTTGAATTCATAATATTTAGTAGTTCTTAGCGACTTCTAGGTATATCCATACTGAAGTTAAAATTACTCAATATCCTTTAAGAAACAGAACACTAACCATAAACGTATTTTAACACTTTCTAGCGCTTAACAAGTACAGGATGGAAGTGTTCCCCGATTTCAGTAATTTAATGTGAACTCCTTAGGACTAAGTGTAGTTCTGTATTCTTCTATGTATTTTCACCAGAACGAAGTACAGTGCCTTGCACATACTGTTTTCAATAAATATTTATGGAAAAAATAAACATATAATTGATATTCCTTTCATACATGTCATCTAGTTACACATTCGACGTGTTTCATGCAGTGTTCACATTTGAGAGTTTTGTTTTGGTTATAGCTGGATGAAAGGATGTTGGCTTACTGAGGTATGGGAGGTGTTATCCAGGCATATGGCACAGTCCCCAAAGTGCTTTCATTAGTTTTATTTTATAGTTGCTTTGTGGGCATCTTTAAATCTCTCTAACTAGGTAATAAGTGCCATGAAAGAAAGAAAAGACACTCTTGTCACTTTTTGTCAAATCCTCTAAAACTCTTAGATAAGAAGTTGTTGAGTAACTGAAGGTGTGGGAAAAGGAGACTATTAAATAAACGTACCTTCCAAGAGAAGAGGAAGAGTAGGGGACAGAGACTAGCATGGTTTTCCTGATGAGGAATTTTGAAGTAGATGGGAGGAAACTCACATGATTTAAAGCAGAGCTAGAAAATAGAGCTCTCTGCAGTGACGGGAATGTTCTATATCTGTGCTGTAGCTGTGACTCTCAGTCTAAATTAGCTGAGTTAAAATGTATTCCCTCAGTCACACTCGCCACACTTTGGAGGCTCAGTCGGCACGTGGCTAGCGGCTGCCTCGTTGGACAGGGCAGGAGTTTTTTCAGAAAGCTCTGGTCTAAGCGAAGGAGGTGGAATAAGACCTCAGGGAGGAAGATGACATGCTCAGAGTGAGAAAAGGCTATTTTTGCAACATCAGTAAGGATACATTTTTAATCAAGTCAGTCTCTGTTCTTGGAACACACACGTTGGCAGCTGAATTTTAGTTTTTCCTCATAGCTCATGAGTGACAGGGTTCTCGCGCTTCTTCCTTCCTCCTGCAGACGCCCAGGTGGTGCTGGCTGCCTTAGACATGCCAATGGTGTTTGCTCGTGGGAAGATAATGGAGGGGACTTCTTACCTGTGAATGTTGTGGAGGGTATACCCGGCCACCGAGACTGCTTATTATATCTAGACCTGAAATTTATGGGCTTATGAGATGTAGTTTATAATTCTCTGTCTTGTGTGATTTATGGATTCGTGAGATACAGCTTAAAACTTTCCAGCCTGTGCCATTAGTAGAGTATAAAACCTAAGAAGCCCAAACCTAAACAACTTCTGAGCTGACATGTACCATAAGCACTGTGAGCACTCTTCTGTTACTCCAAAAAACCAAGACATGCACCATTGAGGGAAAAGGGATGATTAGGAAACTGAATCTGATGGGTTCAGAGCCTTTACAAAGTAATGTTATGCTTGTATAGACATACTAGGGAGGGTGATACTGTGGGTTTGGTTTTCCAGACCACCACAATAAAGTGAGTATCGCAGTAAAGTGAGTAGTAATCTTTTTGCTGGTGGAGATTTGCCTTTATTTTGTAAAAAACACAACATCTCTGAAGTGCAATAAAGAAAAGCATAATAAAATGAGATGTGCCTGTAATTCAATGAGCAAATACTTCCTTAACTTTTGTTTATTTAGCATCTTTGCTCTTTTTGATGTTGCTATAAATCTAACACTTGGTCCTAAATGAGAGGGGAAAGGAGATTAGCATTTGTTGAGTGCTTATAAAGTATGCTGATCTTTATACATATAATCTTATTTATACCTTTAGAACAAGTCTGCGATGTACCTATTAATTACTATGACCTTTTTTCACAAATGAGAAAATTGTTGGTTAAATAACTTGCCTAAGATAGTTAATACATGATAGAGGTAGGGTTCAAATATTCTTCTTTCTGACTCCAAAACTATGATCTTTGCCTTACAATAGGGTGTTCTTTGGGTGTTCTTCAGATGATGTGTTGACTGATAGTGTGCAAGAGTGATATGAGTGTTTGATTTCTGAATGAGGTTCCCAACCAACGCAAAGGAGAAAGAAGGAAAAATGGGGAAGAGACAGAGATAAGATTCATTCAATTTTTTATTAGGAAGTTATTATTTATAATTTGATGAGATTGGATAGACTGGTTTCCTGATATTATTCCTGTCACCTAAGAGGGTAGGGAGCCCTGCCTCCAGCTACCATGCCCCAAATTTTCTCTGCCCTTCTCTTGCAGGGGTAAGGCAGGGATGCTGCCTCTGAGGATTGATGTGTGTGAATGGTAGAGGCAGGTGGGTTTTGTGTTCTCTGTTTGTTTGTTTTTCCTATGGAAAGGGTTATATTTTCTAAAAGACCAGAAGGCCCCTGCTTAGGGTACACAATCTTCTTTGCTGCAGTTACAGTGGAGGACATTCTTCAGGAAGGTAACTGTGCAAATGTAGAAACCAGCATTATAGGAAACTGCCCTTAAAGCAGTCCACATTCCAGAGATAACCCAGCTGGATTAGGTGTATTCTGTAACCTTGGAAGTGATGTGCTTAGGCTGCTGGGAGGTGAGGTATTTCAGCTTTTTAAAAATAATATTTCATGGCCATTAAAATTATTTTTATTCATTTTCCCCAAAGAAATGCTCATTATATGTTCTTTTTTATTAAAATGCTTCTGTAAAGTTGAATTCAAACCATATTTCAAAAATGCAATCAGGTCCCTTCAACTCTCAGATTTTGGTATTAGTTAATAGTAGCTTAATTGCTACATAGCTATGCGAAGTGGCTGTGGTAAATAAAACACGAATCCAAGTGAGGTACGTGCAACCTTTTCTTTCTTTAGAATGCTTTACAAATTATGATATCAACAAATATTTTAAATTTACAGATAAATATGGAAAAGGCTGCTAAGCGTAAAGGAAAAGCACCATTGCCGTCAAACACAAAACCTTCATGAAGACGATTGGGGAAATTAAAGCCATCATCCAAATATATCTTTTTTGTGTTTATTTAAATGTAGTAATGTAGTTTATTTCATCTCAAGTTACTTCTTTTAGTATATAAAAATGTCTGTTTGGATGTTTTCTTAATTTAAATAAGTGAAATACCTTATATTCTTGTTATAAAAATTTATGATTTACTATTTTGTCTATACTTTTTCTTTCTTTAAAATATCTTTATTGATTTCAGAGAGAGGAAGGGAGGGGGAGAGAGAGGCAGAAACATCATTGATGACCCCCAGCCGGGGATCAAGCCTGCAACCTGGGCATGTGCCCTGACTGGGAATCGAACCGTGATCTCCTGGATCACAGGTTGACTCTCAACCGCTAAGCCACGCCTGGCTGGGCTATACTTTTTTTTAATCTCCCCTAACAAGTGAAATTATTTTCATATTAGTCAAAAGCACAGTAAATATCTATAGACTATCATAATTTAACTTTTTCAAGCTACATTTTAAAAAATTAAAGATGGCCCTGGCTGGTGTAGCTCAGTTGATTGAACGTCGTCAGGGTACTGAAAGGTCGCTGGTTCAATTCCTGGTCAGGGCACATACCCAGGTTGTGGGTTCCACCCCCGGTCGGGGTGCGTATTGGAGGTAGCCGATCAATGTTTCTCTTTCACATCCATGTTTCTCTCTCTAAAATCAATAAACACATATTTAAAATAAATAAATAAAAAAGATGTTATTGAGGGTTTTGAACAAATATACATAGGGCCACTGTTTCAAAGTAGGAAGTTAAAATCCTTAATTTTTTAAACTTTGTATTGTTGACTTATGTTTTTAAATAAAAAACGATTTCAAAATTATATAATCATTGTCTTGTGGTATCTCCCGATTTTTAAGTTGCTTTGTTAGCTATGCCTTGCATGTATATGTGCTGACCCCTCTTGTGTGCCGTGTCACATTCTCTCTGTCCTGCCTCATACTCCAGCACGGCCGCAAGACACTGCCAAGCAGGCTCCAGATAGCTTCACGTGGAAGCCATTTGATGGCGCTTTGTACTGGGGCCATGTAATGACTCTCCAGAGATCCTCTGACACTGTGGCTGGGGATGCCCACTGGAACCCCTCAGCATCGTACGTGTATAAAAGATATGGGGGAGTTAATGACCTGGGGACCACCCTTGACGAATGGGAGGTAGAAGCCAATAAAGACTCCCCCTTCCGTCGGCTGGGAAGACAATTCCGAGATGCCTTTCATAAGCTTCCCCAGTCACCCAAAACAGTGGCCAGCTCCATAACATAACCTTATTTTAGCTCTCTCTTTTCCCCCTTTCCACTCCCCGATTCCCTCCCTTTGGTCCTGTGGAGGAGAGACTGCTCCATGATGTGACCCCTGCAGACCCACAAGGTGGACCTGCGAGAACAGAGATTGCTTCCCGGAAAACCGCTCAGAGACTGATCATAATCGCTGCTTTCCTTCTGACATACACCAGGACCTCTCCCATGCCCCATGCCCTGCTGGTTCCTGGAACAGGCCTTGTCCCGACCTGGGCAAGCACGTAAGGCATTTTCCCCTCACGTGGGACTGAACACATACCGATATCCCCACCCATCCTGCCCTTTTCTATAGAATTCTTTGGTGCCTGCCAAGTGGCAAGGATGATATCCACTTTGTTTGCAGCCGCCCAAGACATACCTGGTATGTAAGAGTCCCTGAATAAACTCTGTTAATTGGGAGACAAGTGGCCTGCCTCTTTCTTTGGTCTTTCCCTGCCCTCCTTTCTGGCCTGGGGCTTTTCCTTGGGTCTGTATGTACAAACAGGTTCTGTAAGATTACTTCCCAAATAAATTACCTGTATGTAAATATTTGTCTTAGGCTTTGCTTTTGGTTGTGGTGGGAGTGGGTAAACCCAGGCTACAATGGGTACCAGGAACACATTAGAAAGCAAAACTTCAGGACAGGATTCTGTGACTGGATCCTTCACCAGACAGCTGGCAATCAAGACCCCATAGCTGTTGGTAAGTGGGGCAGTGATAACGCCTGGCACATAGCATCACAGTTACTATAGTGGATTTGGGTGGAGTGCAGGTAGAAGGTAACATGTTAGGCTATAAAGTAGTTGTGGCATTACAATGGAATAGGATTAGTGTAAATTATAAAGATGGAGATGTTCATTAGCTATTGCTAACTGCTTTAGAAACCTTGAGTGAGGAAAATGACATAGGTTCATATTAGCAACTTAAGGCATTCCGGCAATGCCAGAGTGCCTCAATAGCACCCTTCAAGGGAAGTCTCATCTCCTACAGGTGCAGGCTATCTGCGCTGACAACTGGCCCAAATTTAATAAAGTGGCAAGGCTGCAAAGGAAACTGAATGCACAGCCTCGAGCATCTCCTCCAACAAAGTCAGCGTGCTGACAGGCTAAGACTGGAACCCTGAATCATGGGACGGGGACACTTGTGTTGGTGAGCCTGATCTTGAACCCTCAGGTTTTCTTTAACTTTTGCATTGGCAGAAGCAGTCTTGTCCATTTTGCTAGAGGAGAGCAGTCTGTGCTTGCCTGGAGATCCTGCAAAGACTTTATCTAAGGCACTTGCATTGTAAGGTGACACTTGTCTTTCTCATTACCCACCCCTGCCACCTCTCATTGACTTCAAAGTGGTAACAAGGAATAGGTCCCAGCGTACCCTAAGTGGGGAAATTCAGTCCTTCCTATAGGAGGCTAGGTTACACTCTGAATGAATTGCACATTCTGGTTAAAATGCATTGGCAGGAAATATGTCTGGGGGTTGATCTTGAGGGTGTTGGATCAAGGGGTGGGATATAAGGCTTGATAGGAAAGAGTGACACAGATATTCAAATGTAAAAAATGAATGCTTTGCATTTTATACAAAAGTCAACTCAAAAAGGACTTTAAATGTAAAATCTAAACATGTAAAACTTCTAGAGGAAAATATAGGAGAAACCTTTTGTGTTCTGGTTAGCCAGAGGCTTCTTAGATAGGAGACAAAAGCATGACCCATAAAAGACAAAACTGATAAATTGGACTTCATCAAAGGCTCTTTGAAATAGCGTTTTTTAGAGAATGAAAAGACAAGTCACCAGCTGGGAGAAAATATTTGTAAATCTGAAGGAGCTGTATTCACAGTTCATAAAGAACTGCAAAATTCGGTAAGAAAACAAAAAATGGGAAAAAGTTTGAACAGACACTCCACCTAAGAAGCTATATGGATAGAAAATAAACAAAAAAGATACTCAATATTTTTAGTCAATAGAGAAATTCAGTTAAAACCTCAAAAAGATACCACTATACATAAAATGTCTAAACTTAAAAACACTGACCATATAAAATGATGGTGAGGATATAGAGCAACTAGAACTCTTGACCACTACTGGTGCAAATATAAAATAGTAAAACTACTTTGTAAAAACAGTCTAGCAGTTTCTTAAGAAGTTAAATACACACAACTATATGACCCTACCATTCTACTCAACAGAAATGGAAGCACATGCCTATACAAATACTTGCACCTGATTATCCATAGCAGCTTTATTTGAAACAATCCCAAACTGGAAACAATTCAAATCTCTCTCAAAAAAAGTAGGTAAATTGTATTATAATCATGCAATGGAATAGTACTTAGCAACAAATAGCAACATACCATTCATACATATGACAAAACAGATGACTCAATTATGCTGAATGAAAGAAACCAGACAAAATGTAGGTACTGTATGATTTCATTCACCTTGAATTGTAGAAAATGCAAACTAAGGTGTGGCAACAGAAAGCAGAATCTGTCACTTGGGATAGGTGGGAGAGCCAAGTACTATGAGGAAACTTTTTGTGGGTAAATGAAATGATTGTTATCTTTTTAAAAAATATATGTTTTTATTGATTTCAGAGAAAGAGGAAGGGAGAGGGAGGGGGAGAGGGGGAGAGAGAGAGAGGAACATCAATGATGAGTCATTGATGGGCTGCCTCCTGCACGCCCCCTACTGGGTTCGCCTGCAACCCGGGCATGTGCCCTGAGGGGAAGCGAACTGTGACCTCGGGGTTCATAGGTTGATGCTCAACCCCTGAGCCATGCCTGGGGGACAAATGATTGTTAGCTTGATTATGAGGAGGATTTCAACAGTGTATACATATGTCAGCTCTAATCAAATTGTGCACTTTTAATTCCTGCAGTTTATTGTTCATTACATTTGAATTCAAGGAGTTAAATTAATGGAGATAATTTTAACTGTTGTGTAAGTTTCCCAGAAATTGTATTATCCGTATAGAACCAGGCACCTAAGTTATATTAC